TAAAAGATTGAAATATAACTCATCTGTTGCCACAAGACACATCAGCTGTGACTTCATTTCCATTTCTGTGTCTTGCAGGGAACCCCTGCCTCTATTCACAGAGTAGTGGCATCAAATGGGATCAATGCTAGTGGTCCCAGTAATGTCAAGGACCAGATTTTACCCTAAATGAAAAAATGATGTGACACCTGGGGTGGGGGAAAAGATAAAGAGAGACTTTGAATAGCCACATTGCAGGCTCAGTGTTTGGGTGCAAAACGCAATGGGGATGCCCTTCTGCCAGGATAGGTATCTGTCAAAGGAGAACTGTTTGTTATAAAGACAAATTCCACTGTCCCAGTTTAAGTATAAGCACTGTTTGGATGCAGCAGTGTGTGGGCGTCTTTGCTCCTTTCAGCATTCTCACTCAGTCTGAGACAGTCTCATTACCATTTGTGCAGCATGAGCCATAATTTGGATTGCTGTGACTGCTGTTTAATGCAAAGCATTCGTTTCCCCTAGTACAATAAAAGCGCTTTACTTCATTTTGTTCATCAATGTATCGTGCAATTAATTCAGCCCTGCTTATTATTTCCTGGGCTTGCATGTCGTGGACTTAAAGGACTTAGAAATGTCATAATGATCTCATGGATATGAAAACAATGAGACCTATGATAGACATTATGCATTTGCACGTCTCTCACACCTATCTGATCTGCGGGGTTGGTTGTTTTTTATCTCTGCTTTGCTTTGCTTGTACCTTGTAAATTGCCTCTCTGTGTAACCTGCTGTCTCTGTTCCCTTCCCTAGCCTTGATAACTGAAAGCAACATGGTGGGAAAGATAAGCAGCAAGTTAAAGAAGACCTGCAGGGAGAAGCAGATGACCCAGGAGATGAGAAACAGGATATGGAGATTTTCCTGACTAGAAGACTGGTCCAGGTGAGTTCAGCTCACTGCAACTGATATCCAGCAATTACCTGCTTCATGTCAAATATACTGGTAGTATGCCTTGTGCAGACTGAGTAAAAAGCTAATACACGGCTGGCTCCCTTCCTGACAGCAGAAAAGTGAGGCTAATAAGGCAGAAATGCTTTCCTTTGCATTTTCAGGGTGCTGTACCCTTTGGTGGGTAAGGTAATAGCAATTCCGTTGGGAAGTAGAGGAGCTAATACAATTGCTCCTGCTGTCCTTATCTAGCGGTGGGGATGGGGACAAGCTCACCCCTCATGGTCCTGCCCTTCTCGTCCCTCACTGGGGGTCTAGTCTGATGGTAACAAAAGACTGCAGCTGACACTGGTGCCTTTGAGTTGTGCCGCTGGCTGTGGAGCTGAGAGCAATGAAAACATCAGCTTGGTACAAATGCATATATTATCAATAGAGCCTTTCTGAATAAGCGGTGAGGAAGGGCATATAGAAGTTGTCCTGGCTCTACAAACTCCTTCTTAAATCCCGATGGGAAATCAGCAAGCCGAAACATTGTTCAGATTGCAAGGAGAACTGGAGGCGTTTTGTAATGCTGATGGGGAGCCTCCTACTGAAACTTCACTGCAAAACAGTCTGGCAAGAGATTTGGGGAGTAGAGAGGGTTACGCTAATGTGGTACCTTCACAAGCACACTTGAAAGTCCTTTCCAATCTCACCAAGGAAGAGCTGCTCCTTTGTTTTTCTAAAATCTAACTAGGACTTTGAGATATAATTGAGGGACTACTCTTCAGGGTTCACTGGCACTCTAGAAAATGAACTGACGTACCAGAAAGGGGTTTATGGGGTACATATAATCACTCAGAATGTTCCAAGAAAACAATAGACCTATTTTTTTCTGATAAAAAAATACGAAAGCAATGCTTTTTCCAGGCTTTATGTATCAGTGAGTGACTGGCATGGACTTGAACAATTTGGTATAGCATGGGTTTGAAATCGAGGCACTTTCATACACTGTGGATTGACAACAGGGTAATTACTGGGGGGTGGGAGGGAGGAGAGAGGGTTTCAATAAAACACCCCCAAGCTAAAATGAATGCAGACTATTAGAGACCTGAGACAGAATGATTCCCAAGTGTTTTAATTTGTGCTTCCACTCCTTGTCGCTCTTGCAGTCATCATTTTGGCAACTGCCAGCAACATCCCCAAGATTCAACAGCATTTGTGGAGCAGGCAGCTGCTGAGATGATTATGTCAAATCAGCACGCTGTCCTCTCTTTTCCAGGTCTAATGATTCTCACCCTTGGAGAAGTGGTTTAAAATGATACATACCCCTTGGACTCATGGTGAGGCTGCTAGCAGCGGTAGCTATAGAGCAGGAGTTTGGGTGGGACTCTGTCACTCACCTTTCTTGCATGCATGCCCTGCAATTAACTTTAAAAATTATTCCACAGAGCCCTGCTATGGCTGGTTTGGGCCTGATCCAAAGTCCTTTCAAGACAATAGAAAATCTTGCAAGAGCTCTGTCTTAAGCTTTCTGAGGGCACAAGAGAAGCTGAGCTTGGGTGAATTCTTAATTTGAGTTCCTCAAACAATCAGTTGAGAAGAACATATAAATCAAGACTTGCTTGACATTTACATCCCTCTCTCTTGTTCAGACCTAATGCCCCCAAAGGCAGAACTATCGCTGACTGCACTGTGACTGGAAGATACTGGGAAGGAAGGGGAAAGTTGCTAAATGTAACCCAGTGATACTATCGCTCTGCGGCTGCTGTTACGCTCTTGAGACAGCACAGAGCGGCACTAAAAAGCTTTGCTGCCCTCAGAAGTGTTGCCCTGGGTTTTTTTATCACAGACCGGTGGTGTATTCCACACCTTGGCATGTTTACTCAATGGCTTTCCTTTGCACTGCAGTTATGAAGTCAATAGTTGATCTGGCTGATACATAAATCAGGTTGTATGATTCTTTTCACACTGCTGTGGCTGTGCAGCATGTGCCTGTGCCACTGCTCACCCTTTCTGCTTCACCTCTGCGACATCACAGTTTGATTCAGAAAGAATGAGTCTCGGTCATGGGCTCTCTTTCTGAAACTCCAATGTGAGGAATCAATCCAGTAATCCTGTGACTTGATTTATAATAATTAATTTTCACTGACCTTACACATTTAGCTAATCCCCCCAGTTAAGAATAATCTGTTCTGTATTTATAGCAGACGGAAAGCTGAAAATGCAAGAGCTGAAGAAGCAAGTCTCCTTTTGGAGTCTAAAAGCTCTGGCTTAAAATTTAGACTTGCTGTTTAAGCCAGCTTGTATTTCACATGATTTGCAACACAGTCTTGCCCAAAACACTGCCCAGGATCCTACAAGGATTCTGTATGTTGTGTACGGGGCAATGAAGACCTGTATCACCCAGGATACAGACCCCTGCAAAATTTCCTGCTTTCTTTCAGTTGCACTGTTCCAACCAGATCTCAGCTGCTACACTGGAAAGCAGTGGGTATCAAAACCTGGCTTTGATAGCGGCTGTGCATGTGGTTCTCATCGGTGTCACACAGACCAGGGTCTGAGAGCTCTGCAATTGACTGTGATCAATTAGGGCCTTTTTCCCTTTCTGCTCCCACTGACAATAGCACTGGCAGCACCACCCACCATTCTGCATCTGGGCTGAGGGAGGGGCTGCATTTCTCTCTCTGGGTTAACAAATTGCATCCTTGCTGCCATGGCATACAGCTGGAGCCAAACCACCTTTCTTTACTCCTGCCTTTTGGGCTAAGACTGTAACGCTGTAAGCAGAAATCTAAATAGCTCCGTCCAGCTGAGTGGTAGGTTTTACCTAAATGCTCCTTTACAAATTCCTCCTTTAGCATACCTCCTAGCAGTGCAGGTGTATGTGGGTCAGAACTAATACTGTATTCACAGCATATCTCTGTAGCCATGACTGGGCACTCATCATATTAGAGGTGTAAACTATTATGCTACCAGCGTTTGAGTGAATACACAATGCAGAGTGACACTACCACAGAAACAGGAGCGCAAAATGGAGATTTGCCTACCTAAATGGAACACAGGGAGTTTAGGGAAGCAACGTAAAGAGGATACTGACCACAGTACCGGGACTAATATATCTATTTCTATAAAAGGTGTTGTACATCTCCAGGTTCTTTAATGTAAAAAGCTTCAGAGCTGTCTCCCACTGGAAGTCAGGGTATTGGGGTGTTGGCAGTAAAAAAGAACATCTTTATCAACGAACACTACTCCTGTTTAACAAAGTAGCCTGTGTTGCTCTGATATGTCACTGAAGTCGGTAATTAAGTAGTAATATAAAGAAGTTTTAAACATCTGGATGGCTACACCAGGCAGAAGCTGACTGTTAGCTGCAATTTGAGTGAGGATACAGGGAAGCTTGGATCCCTGGTTTGTGGATTTTTTTCTACCAAGTGGCACAATTGCTTTGTGTCATTACCTGAAGCCATCAGTGCTACCTGTTGGCCAGTTCCCTTATAAGCCTTTCTGGCTCCTGCCACATCCTTAGTGCAGTCAAAGAAGCAGAAGTGTTGCACAAAGGGTATCTATCATATCTTTATTTACATATCATGGAAACACACATGCAACATTTCACAGGATTTACTACAACGGAACAGCCTGTCCCTATCTCCTGTTACCAAAAGCTTCATTTTTGGCTCACTAGGAAAACTATCTCTTCCCCAGAAAGCTCCTAAAAGTAATAATTAAAAATAAGACTTGGCAGGATAACTAAATGAGTGAGAGCTGCAGGCTGGGGTGTCTTGCCACATCCTTGCAGAAACCAGGTGGTTCTCTGGAAGCAAGGAAGGAAGGAAGGAAGGATTGGGACTGAGTGGTCCCAAAGAAGACAGGTAGGAAGTGGTAATGTGTAACAAACAGCTAGAGAATACCTGTCTGTAGCAGTGAACAAGGGAGGGAGCAAGAGCTCTGTCAGAGGGTCCCCTCTCACCTAGGCAGCCAGCTTCCTGCTCATCCATTTCCCATCTTTGATTCCACCTGGAGGCTACAAGCTTCCTACCCTCTAGGAACCTCTGATCCTTAAAGAGGATCTACCTTTCTTCTCAAGCAATAGTTAAGGGGTAAAGTTTAAGCTCATATCCCCTTTGACCTGAAGGATCTTTCGTATCTTGCCTTTGTTGAGAGGAGATGAAACTGCAGAGCCTTTTCCTGCCAGGACCATCAGAATGGTAGTCATGGTCATCTCTTACTAATTGGGAGAGGGGGACCCACCTCAACGGCAGGAATGTGCTGAGGGAAGGGAGCGGGAATGCAGTCCTTGTATGGAAAAGGCTGAGGGCACTCTATTTATAATTAACATAAGCTTCAGTCCTGTTGGAACCTGGCATGTTCAGAGCCTGCAGCTTCAGTCATTTGCTTGACTTCTTCCTCTAACTCTCATTGCTAGGTATAAACAGTTCAACCCCAGCTCCTGACCATCCAGGCAGGAGTCCCACCCTCCTAAACATTAATGAACGATCCCTGCTCTCCGTTGGCCGATTCGGGCTCCACACAGCGCCCTTTCCTCCGGGTCACTCTTCGGTTCCGGTGGAATTTGGCGTAACAGCGTAGCCCTATGGAAAAGACACGCACAAGTGATCAGTAGGGACCAGGGCTCACTACCACAGTAACATCAAACCGTTAGCTCTCGGCCTCAGTTCCTGACAGAGCCTGCTGCAGTGGGGACAGTCCCAGGGCTGGGAAGCCTGCGCTGCATCAAATGAAGTGGCAGGCCCACACGGGCAGGGCGTGTTGCTTTCTGGGCCCTACTATTCTGTTTGGCTCACTGTTCTGGTTTGGGATTCACTGGCTCAGGCAGAAGGTTTCACTGGCTTCTAGAGATACCAAGGAATTATCCTGATTGTTTCATTCATTTTATGGAAGCCCGGCTTGGTTTCCCCCTATTACTTCCCATTACTGTCTAAGTGATCTCTCCATTGGGAAATTACTATAGGCTTAATGTGCAGCAGCGATGGCTAGGGAGCTCCCCTTGCTATTTATTTCCCTGAAGCTTCAGGAGAGGAAGGAAGAGACTTTGAAGTGTTACTGTTGGGAGGTCTGATCCAAAGCTCACTGCTGATCTCTTTTGGTTTCTGTTTTGGATGCTCGTAGTGCAGGGTCTGAAGTAAGCTATCTGATACAGTGTTGATGAATACTAAGCGGGGGGAAATAGGCATTTTATTTGTAAAAAACATCAGTACATATTCTCCTATGGCAGTGGAAGGCAATGGGAGCCTCTGGTCAGGGTAACTCATTGGTTTCTGGCACTGGCAGATTTATCTTTTGGTGTCCATTGTCTGACTTTGTTACACCAGAATGCGTAGCTAGTTGGGCCAGACAGAGCACAACCTCTGTGTAACAAATTCTCATGAAAGCCCTGATTTTCAGTGGCCCGGGACCTGGTTATTGGGGTTGGCAGGAGCCGATTTGATCATCCTAGAAACTGCAAGTCTTTCTACTTCCAGAGTAGACAGCAGGTTAGCAACAGTGCCGGCACCCCAGAGTGGGGGATGCTGAGGATTCATAGCTTTTATAATGAGACAGCCCATAAACTGTCCTTGAGTACTTGTACATAGGAGACCCAGCCGATGTCACAGGTCACTGAACAGCCTTTTGGAGTGCATGTCCCTGGGCTATGTTGAGACCGACTACCTTGAAGTTGGGTTTCTGCCCCTCATTACCAATCCCCCCAAGGCAGTCTGGCCTCCCAGAAGGAGAGCACAGAAGATCAGAGCTCTGCTCTTATCTAAGCATCTTGTCTATCTTATCTGGACCCTACATCTCTGGGGATCTTTTTAAGGCTACAGAGGATGCACATGTGGCATCAACTTATAACTAGCTTAAGTATAAAGCAGGGCCAGGGGCAGCCCTCGTTAGGCTTGCAGAAACACTTTTCTAGGCTAATCTATTAGAACATCGTCTCTGATGAGGACCTTCAAGTGTTACAGACACACTTAAGGTGAAGACTATCATTTAACACTGCAACTCCAGGAAAGCAGTCTGTTGAACTGGGTAAAAAGTAGGGGAATGACCTGGTCAAAGTCATTATGTACCTAACACAGGTCACAAAATTTGGTAACCAGACTTTTGTTCTGGCAGACAAGACGCAGTGCCTGGAGCTGACCCTGAACATGCTCAGACTAGAAGAGTGCCTTTCAACCTCTTCATGACACAATTGTCTATTAAGGGCTGCTGTGGATTCCTCAGAAATAGTTTTAAGAAACAAAAGTCTGTGTCCTGCCTGCACCTACTAAATTGCTATAAGTTCAGTTGAAATTAACTCAGGAAAGACATATTAGGCATGAGGTTATGTAAAACAAGGATAGCAGTCTGTTTTTATAATCTGGGATACTTGAAAGCACCTTTGAAGTGTAATATATTGTGGCTTCTTCTGTTAGGTCTGTAGATAGGATTTTTCGTTTCAAGAGGGAAGACAAGATATCCTAGATGACTCAATGGTCACATTGTGAGTCAGTGGCAGGGAAAGGCTAAGGGCAGCAGAGCTTGGCTCCTGTTTTCACGTATACACAGTATTGCAGCCAGCTACGAAGCCAACTGGAAGGAGGAGAGCAAAGAGCTGAACTCACCTTCAGTGCACATACAGTCATCATAACATTTGTTGTTAAGGCCTCGATTGTGTGGTTTGCAGAGGTGTTCACGCAAGTCGCAGCAAGAGCCTGCAACACAGGAACAAGGGTCAGCACAGCTCATTTGTCCCTTTCCCTTGTAGGGCTACTGACACCCATGACACCTCCATGGTAGACATCATCTGTTCCCACAACACACCTAGAGAGCCTCTGCCCTTCCCTCTGCATGCCACTTTCTAGCAGTACTAGAAACCAGGATACTTGTATTAGAACCTGGCCTGGATTTCAAACAATCTCGTGTTTGGAGAAATGACTCCAGCAAGCTGATCCTGACCTGGGAGGCAGTCAAGGTGATGATCACATGGCTCTCCTTCAGCCGTCACGGTTTCATTTCCACTGTTGGGGCTCTTACTGCGGCGTTTCTCTATGGAAAAAAAACAGATGCTGACAGAAAATTTCATGCTAGTGTTTTTATTTTGGAGACTATATTGTTCCAGGGTAAAAACAGCCTCAAACTTCGAGAGTTTGAACTCTAAACCTTCATAGTCTAATCTCCTCCCTATTTCTCAACCCTCCATCTATTATTTTTCCTCTGCCCTCAAACTATGCATCCAAAATGAGAAACATTCTGAAATTGAGCACAAAACACAACACAATCAGCGTTATGTTTTTTCTCTCTTTCCCCGCCACTATGATCTCACATCCTTCAGCACATCTGTGAACACTAACCATAGGACAAGCCTTCCAGAACGACTTTTGGGAAAGAGGACAGGGAGGTTTAGCACCTTTCTTTTTAGCAGATGGCCACATTTCTGGTTTAAGATCCTCATAATCTGTCCAGTCAAAGAGTGCCATATCTAGGGTGGGCATCACATCCCCATCTTGCCTGAGGCGGGCCTGCAAACCACAAGAAACCGAAGAGACAACAGATTACACCTCTGTAGCGACACTGAAGTCTTTGCAAATTTTCCTGGTGCTTTTCGATGTCAAAAAGGTTTTATGATTTCCACACCCCCTCCACCCCTGTCTTGTCCACTGGGGATTCTTGGCATCTCATTTTCAAAAGAGAAGAGCTTTCCCTTGTTGCAGCTGAAGCCAAGTTTCCACTGCTTCTTTGTGAGGACAAAAGGCGAGCAAGGAGCATTAGGACATGCTGCCCCTCCAGCCAAGTGCTCCTACTGCCTCTCTGGTCCTTGAAGCTGAATGAAGATGATAGCTAAGGGAGAGGTAGGGAAGGGAAGAGAAGCAACTAAAGGAACTATTTATGAAGAAGAGGTGTTTAGATGTCTCCAAGACAGAGAGCTGCTTTTGAGGGAGGGCTTTGGTGTTAAGCAAGCACTTACCTCTGACTGGAGGCGTGGGGCGGGGCAACTGGACCTTATCTGCAGGAGACTTCTGCCTGCACCAGAGGTACAGTGCAGTTACCAGCTCTCTCTTTACCTGTGACCGTGGTGATGTGGCTGGAAGAACAGGAGGCTCTTCTGTGGAAACAGCTAGTTCCAGTGCAGTGATGAGAAGCATGGTGGGAGTCAGACTCGTAGCTTCCTCTGCCTGGAGGTTTTGAAACTGTTCTTCAAAGCTTTCAGGTTTCTTGTACAGGGAGCTTGGCCCAGCATCAGGAGTCTTCCCTGCAGAGGGCAACAGATAGAGTAGCATTAGTTTTCTCATCGCTTTTCTCTCTGTGCCATAGATTTGAGTCAAAGGAATTCAGATTTCATCCAGCTCACTGGCCAGCGTTCTACCACGTGAGCTGCTGTTCAGACCAGTGTAACAGAGAGTCACGTGCTATTAGAGTGATAGATCAGCTCCAGAGTATATGCATCTTGATTTTTATACACTTAAGTCATTCTTGAAGATATGTCTATCTCTTGCTTAAGAAGCAAAGGATTTCTTCTTCTGGTCTAAAGAGCACAAAATGTACCTGTTTAACCATTTTTAACCCCACAGGTTAAGCTTCTGCGAATACCTGTGAAACATTCTTATTTGATTTTAGTAGCAGGTTATTTCAATTAAGCTCAAGTCAGGACCTACATAACTTGCAATAAGAATATCTTCACAGCCTGATCCCTGCTTTTCATGAGTATTAATTTAGATATAGACCTTAAGTAAAACCAAAGAAATAAGGCCTGTGTTGTAGTCTGCAAATACTGCTTCAAACCAGCTTTGCTGTGTACTCTTTTACATTGCTTAATATGAGTTGTCTAGTCAGTCCCCTGAGAAAATAGTAGGGCTCTTCTTACTGATGTAGGGAGGAGTGATACCTGGAACTCAGGGATACTGACACCCACCTTGTCAAATAGCATAGATTGACACAAATTTTCTGGCTTTAATAGAACTAAAGGTTTACCACAGTGAGCATACCATACCACAGAGACACACACCCACAACTTGACCTGCAAAGGAAAGCAGTCGCAGTCAAAAACAAGCAACATTTTAAAGTAATTAGTGTCATTTCACATATGCAAAATGTGTATTTTTTGTAATTCAGCATAAATACAGAAGAATACAAGCTCTGATGAGAAGAAATCGATCTTGAAGAAAGTAGGGGTTTATTTCTAGTTCTGGTCATGTTTCAAAGTCAGTGGAGAGATTGAGCATGGCTTGGGCATGTTTGTTCATAAATTGAATCATATCCTAAAACAAAAAAAAACCAAAGCAGGCCACCCCAAAACAACCCCTCAAGTCCTAGGAACTTTCAGAGCTCCCCCTGTAAGGCAAACCAGGTCATTTTCACAGAATTGCAGCCAGCAGTAAAAACCTCCGGTTCTGGAGTTCCCCTTTTTTCTTGTGCCTCTTTTGTTTGGCAGATTTCTCCCCAGAGCAGGCACACATCCCACACCCTCCACACACCCATGTGGCTCAACCACAGCTGCCTCTTCTTGCCCTTACACAAGTGACACTCATTTCCAGTGACCCAACAGCCTCGGCTTCCCTTGGAGCTCAAATACCTCTATGGTGTTTCAGCCTGTCCCTGCGGCTGTGTCGCCGATGCTCTCGGTTCTGCTTCTTTCCTCTCTCAGACCCAGGGGAGTGGTTCTCCCTCTCAGGATACGGGAATTCAAAACCCAGGAACACATCTTTATTCTGTTTCAGGGCTGCTGGCTGTCCCTCTGCTGCTAGCTCTTCCACAGCTGAAGCTCCACTACCGGTTCTGAGGGCCTCTTCCCCAGCTGGCCGCCCTCTAGAAGGCATGGCATGGACCCTCTCCTTCTTGGCCAAGCCATGCTTGTGGTGGTGCCCACTTCTGGGCTGCTGCAGCCACATCTCTTGGTTTTGAAGATGGTTGTTGTTCTCTGGGACATTTTTGAGCTTTATGCTGGGGTCCAGGGAGACTGCAAGACTGATAACAGAAAGAACCAGCACACACAGGAAAAGGAAAGGAGAGAAGAAGGTGGAAGAAGTTGCCATAATCCTGGGTGCTCTGCCTCACCTGCAATTAAAAATAAAAAAATAAAAGGGAAAGAAAAAATAAGCAACCAACTTTTAGGAACTGTAAAGGCAAGCAAGAGTCAGACCTAGGACACTTAGATGAAAACAGTTTTGGTGTCCAGAGCTGGAAGTGAGCTTTTCCCTCCTTGGTTACCTCCTCCTCTCCCAGCCCTGGTTACAGCAGCTGAGACACACGTGCGGGCCCTGCAGGGCAGAGAGGTCCCAGTTTCATGTGCAAATGAGGGCCATCAATCAGTAGGACATTTCCCTTTGATTCCTCACTAGCCCCCCTACCCTCCCATTCACAGCCTACCATCTGAGGGGCTGGGAGGCTGGCTCCTGCAGGCCACAGCTCCTGAGCCGCCTGCACAGCACCAGCTGTCTGGCTAGGGCTGTTTGCTGCCAGGCTGGCATCCTGGGCCGGCCTGGCACTGACTCCTCCTCACAGCTGGTTTTCTTGCAATGAAGATGTCAAGATGAACAGAACTGGAGGCAGATGGTGGCCTCGCAGGACCAGCAACAGCCCTGAGCAGCTCAAGACAGGGAGACATGCGCATGCACATATGTAGTGCTTCAGGGTGGCTGAAACTGGTGAAGGGAAGAAAAAACACTGGAAATTTTGTGCTGATACTTCACAGCATGGCAGAGAAACAAACCTTCTGCTGTTAGCAGAGCAGGGGATGCTTGTCTAAAGATCAAGGGGCAGGGAGGCAAGACTGAGTTTTCTCTAGCTTGTTCCACTTTCCCTCCTTGACCCTGCACAGGTCACTTCTCGTCCCATCCCACCAGGTAAGGCTGTCACTGGGAGAGTAATTTAAGTCCAAAGAACACTGAGACAGGGTACTTCAGCACAGTGGCTGCAGACTAATTCATTCTGCTTCACTGCAATATTTTTGAGGGCCTTCCTTCATGCCTGTGTTTGTGTTATAAGATATGGCTTTGGGACATTCCACGAGTCATAGATCTCTCCCATTTAAAGTCACTCTCCCCTGCCCTTTCCCACAAAAAGGAGAAAGGGATTTTCAGCATTTCCAGTGCAGCCTTTCGCTGTGGAGTACCTTTCTCAGACTGTCCCTCTCAATCTGGGCAGCAGGAAGGTGTGCTTATAGCCAGAGTTCCCTGTGACACCGACTGCCAGAAAACCAGGCCTATGCTTACATTTGAGAAATACTGTCACAACAACTTTAACTCAGCCACAGCTCTTCACTCAACCTCCTCCCCACCTTTCCTGCACCCCAGCCCCCACTTGCACCTGATTTCCATCTGCCTGTTCACCAGGTGAACCCCTTTGCTGCATAATTACAATGGCTGGTGCTCCCTCCTCCAGGTGCTTTGCTGCTTGACCAGCCATTGTCACCTGTGAAGGGCATCAGGTAACATCCTTTGAGGCCAATCTCAGCGTCTTTTTGTGGAGCTGACAGAAGACACCCTAAGAATAGCCTTGGCACTTCCTTTCCTCTTTTCTTTCAACCCATGAGACAGATGTGGAGTGTTTTGAGTCAGTGAAACCTCTGCCATCGTAGGAGCCCCAGCTTCAGAGAGTACCTGGGGAGTTTAGACGGAGATGTCTTCATCCTCTTAACTAAAAAGCCTGCTCACTCATTTACCAGCCGATTCTGCCTTACCAAGACCTGTGTCTGTTACTGCTCAGAGCCTGGGAGCAAATTTTCAGTTCAGACCTCCCCTGGAAAGAGGTAGGCAGTACAGAGGCTGCCTTTTTAATGCAGTGTCTGAAAAGCAGGTCTTTCTACTGGCCATAAAGGACAACAAAGTGCTACTTGAGGATCGATTCAGGAGGTGCTGGAGCTCATTTGCTGAAGGCGTAACACTACGAAATAGGATTTTATTGGCAGCTACCTGTGACAAAGGAAAACCAGACCGGCAGCTGAAACTATTAACAAACGCTTGAAGTCTTGCTTCAAAACCAATGGAACAAATAGCAACCAAGCAAAACCCAAGCTCTGCATCCACAGTCTTTGTTTTTTTTGTAGGATTTTCTCTTTAAGAACCAGAGCAAACCAGCTGGATCAAGGCATCACTCAGAACAACTCAAAGAGCTAGAAACAGCATCTTACCTTTTTATCTGTAGGCTGAATACCAAGAGGAGAGAAAAGTGCAATGTGAGGCAGGTGTCTCCATCTCACTCACACAGGCATGGGCTCTTTGATGGTGAACCTGACAGACACATTAGCTGCAGTTTCGGGGTTTCAGACAGCAGGAGCTGGAAAGCAGCTAAATGCTGCAGGGCAGTTCAACAGAAGGTCTGCTTCAAAGTGTAGGGGGCATTTATTTAAGCTGCCCAGCTGTCTTGTTGGCATGACACAGGATGAAAGTGTGGCTGCAACACACGGGCTGCCTCGTCTCTGTGTTGGCTGAGAGGGCAGGCTGACATGCTGTGTTCCCGTGTCACTGGGAATCTGGCATTAACAATGCAGATACTTACCTGTACTGCGCTGCTGTGAGGGGAGATCTGAGCTGTTTGCCAAACCCAAACAGTGCATGGACAAGTTTTGGTACCTTGGGTTAATGTAACACTGCTGTGCTAGAGGCAGAGAAGTCCCAGCCTTCTCTTAACCACTTGTTTCCACGCCCTGTTCCATCTTTAACTTAAGAAACTTCTTCCTACCTCCTTCATTTTTCTTACCCTACTGCAGCTGTAAAAGTCACGCTTCCGAAAGGCAGCTAGATAACACAAGAGCATCCCTAGTTCTCCTCACTGCCCAGGTTCCTCAATGTCTGAGCACCAAAGTAAACTCCACCCTCTCCTCTGTCAGGACCACAGCCCACAAAAGAAGACAGTGCTAGCCCTGGCCTTGTTGATGTAGGTGAAAGCAATGTTCTCACACTGCTGATGCACCTTTTCTGCAAAGGGTGAAATTCTGCCCTGAGACATACACTGGGCAGAAGGAAGTCTGGCCTTGTAAGGAGGTGCCTTTCCTAAATTGCTCTAAACCAAACCTACACATTATGACAAGTCCAGAATTCATCCTCTTCTTCAGGTTCATATATTAATAAAGGAAATAGGTGAAGTACTTGCCAAGTTAAGCTGCCCCTGTAGTTCCTCACAACACCAGGCCTACATCCTCCTTGCTCCACCCAATGCCTTGCAGTTCCTTTATATACCCTCAGGATTACGAGCCACCTGCCTGCTGAGGTAGCAAATCTGCCTACTAACAAGAAAATGTGTAAAGCAAAGATAAGGCCTTAGAGCTACCCACGGTGCAGGCTCAGGGCTGACGAGTGAGTTGCAGTGCTGTGTCTCAGCCGCTGTTTCTGATCCGTTTTGGGTTAGTAGTGGATGGTCACAATCCTGTAAGGGAAATTAGGGTGTTTTTTTTTCGTCTTGGGTAACTTTCCATGTGGGCAGTCTTTTTTTCTGGACTCACTGATACAATTGCTAATACTCTGCTCTCTGCTTGTAATCCTGCAAGGCAGCCATGGACTGAGTAGGTACACAGAAGCTCAAGCATGTTTTCCCCCTATACGACTATGTCACCTTGGCTCTGCAATATGCTCTGAAACTGCCCCTGCTGCATTTGTTTTCCATTTGACAAAGCAGGAACATCAGATCATCTACATTCATTCACATCTCGCTTAAAACACGAACCCTGACAGTCATAGCTTTAGCTTTTCACATATGTTCTTCATGTCACAGCCAAGAGGGACAAAACTCTTGAACCAAGAAATAGAGAATATCAAGATCCTTTATCTCCCCCCACCACCAATGATGTAGTTTGTATGCTCAAGGGCTGAATCAAGCACGTGTGCTGGGCCAGATTTCTCTTTGGCTCTGATAAGCGCAGACTTTGGCAGGCGTGCGTAAAGATTTCCTGGACTCCAGACAATCCCAAGCTGCAGCAATAGACAAAGTGTATGTGTGTCTACATGGGTGTTGTGTGTATGTGCATGTGTGGCAGGGATGGTAGACAATAAACCCAGCTTCGTGTGCCAGGCTTCCTGTAAATAAGAAGCCATAGGGTGATGGATGGGCTTGGGAAGGCCTAGAGCAGAATGGACAGGGTAGGCTCTATGGTAGCTGACATGCAGAGAGCTGGCTGGAGCCAGGAGGATGGCATTGTGCAGATAAATGAGATTTCACTTCCCTGCTGGGTTTCTTTCCATCTGTTTTTCTGTTTCTGGCGGCAAATGCTGGGAAGATTCTTAAAAAATCTGCCAAGAGACCTTCCCATTTTAAAAGGCTCTTTCCCAGCTTTCTAGGGTCCCCAAAAGGAGACAGGTAATCTTATACTCACCCTTCTCTTTTCCTCCATGAGGCAAAATTAATAACGCTTTTCTTCTCTCCAACATTTCTTGCACACTGGCTTTGCAAAGCATTTTTTTTTTGCTGCTGGCCCAGCAGCAAAAAAATCCTTGGGACGACAGAGCAGCAGAGTTCCCTGCTCACAGATCTCTGGTCCTTTCGGGTCCTTCTTTGGAGGGGATCTCTGCCCTCCTTTCTTAGGTTTCCTATATCCATTGTCACCTTTCCTCCCTACCTTGCTTTTCATTTTTTTTTCTGATTCCACTGTTCCCTTGTTCCTCATGTGACTGTGGTGTGAGAGATTTCCCCTCTGCAGATATTTAGGCTAGGCTGTTTGAATCCCACCACTACGCTTTGAAACATCTGCTTCCCTTTGCCTGGGTTGTTTTCTCTTGCTTTCTGCCATCACCAAGCAGCACTCCACTGTTTGGTGGAAAGGGACACATTCACTAATACACTGATTGCACTCACGGCACACGAGACAGACCATAGAGATTCGGGCTTGCAGAGAGTTGAGTAGTAGCTGTCGCTGCCCCTGTGCCTCCACAAAGCATCTCCCTGGGGCAATTCATATCCAGTGACCATCTGAAATGTGACTCACTCAACATTAGTTGGAAGAGCTGTAACTGGGACTCTGTTTTTGCTGACCCATTGGCGATCCCTTCCCCTCACTGGTCAGCTCTGGCTGACAGACTGCACTCTGCCCGCCTAACCGCTG